TGCCGCTTTTTAGAGCTACAGAATCCACCGTTAGTGCCAGGCGTGCTGCAGGCCCCCAACCCACTTGTGCACGTCTCTCAGGAGCGCATAAAGACGTGCGGAACCAGCAACGTTCCCGGCAAAGTCGAGCAGGTGGAGGACTTGCTCACTCAGTTGCTTCAGAACATCGACGGCGTCATCAAGCATTTCATTCACACCGAGAACGAGCTGGAGAGCTTGCGAACTCGGTTGAGAAGCAAGATGAGTGAATGCGGCCAAGTGAGTGACCTGAGGCCTGGCCCTGGCTTCGACAGCGGCAGACCTTGATGTAGGCATCGCGCAAACGTTTGATGCTGGTCCATATCAGATAAGTTTAGCCCAATGGACTCACAGCCGAAGCAAATTATCACCAACTTTTGCCACCATGTGTCAGAGGTCATCAGAGTTATAGGTTCTATGGAATTCCCCTTCGTTGATTTCAGGGGCGGATAACCTCTCAAAATTGACGAGGTAGGACTTGGTCGATCTGTGTGACTTACGATGCATTTACTGATGCCACATTGGTGAAGCATCGGTAGTCACCACCTTCGCCCACATCTGCGATCTTTCGTGCATAGACACGCCTTATTTGCGAATGTTCAGATCCAACGACTTTAGCGTAGATTTTTATAGGCTAGCAATATTGATAGCACAACATTGACATTAAATGTCATCCTGAATTTTTGTCTCGCCTTTGCACTCAATCAACCTCTTAATCGAAGAGAATTCGAGTTGCTTTTTCGCAGCATTCTGCCTAATAACATCTTTAAATGCGTTCTTCCAATGAATGTGCAGCCAAGTCTGCTCGTGTTTGTGAAGCTGGTTCAACATTGTGGTTATTTCAGTCTCCCATGAAGCCTAGAAGCCGACAATGGAGTGGAACATGAGAGTTGCTCATTGTAGACTATGGTCCACTGCTGCGTTGTTGGTGTCGGTGCATACCGAAATGCTCCAGATATGCGCGTGTGATGATAAAGAAATCAGAATTTTCGACGTAGCATACTTGCACCATGTTTCACTTCCAGTGGCGTCCAATAGCAACATCGAATAGACAATATCCTGGGCAAGGCACCCCACAAGTTACCAAGATAATCAGCTCTTTAGATATTTATGGAAGCTTTCGAGAGCTGCTTTATGGTGTCTCATCGCAATATGGGTAAGCTGAACGGTTTGTGCGCACGATCGCGTACATCGCATCGCGATGCCCCCCCAAGTCTGAAACCTCTGTACTCCGTCGAAATCTCCAAATTGGATCCTGCAGGACGCTGTAGGACGCCTATGCGCGCGGATCTGCGAGTGTGTTGAGCTGAAGTCTGTCGACGTTTCGGTGCAAGGCTAGTCTTGAAAATCTCCCCACCTCCCGTCGACGCCCTGTCAAGAGTCTGGCCTCCATGAGATTTCAAGCATCAGCGGAAAGGAACGCGAGGCGAGAGCTTCACGACGGGGAGCGGAGAGAGTGCTTCGAAATGCAGCTATTGGAAAGGAAGATGAAAAAGCACTCCCTGCACCTTGAAGATCTCATGATGGCAGCGCAGCTCCTCAGGTCGAGAGGATTCATCCGACAGCTGAAGCAAGCGCGGGTAAAATTCCGCCAGATGGAGTACTTGATGGACGAGACTCAGGTGGGCGCGGCGCTGAGGCCCTGCCCTCAGCTACTGTCAGAAAATGCGACGCAACTTGCTGCAGGGTAGCCATGGTCACTGCCGCTGCTTGGCACCTGCACGTAACAGGAGCAATAGGCGCTCATGTGTTGAGCAAAAATATACCTTCGATTCAGCAAGCGTACGCCTGTGGCTTGCTTCGGGCGAGGGTCCATTCCGATACCATTATCGTCGGCAATCACAGTTTGAATGTGTCGCAGCTTGGAAAGCCAGGACTGTGGGTGTCGGGTAAAAGGAGCGGCGCAGCAGGGCCACAATTTACCATCTGCGAAATTACCATCTGAGCCACCCGAGTGCACAGAAGATCAGAGTGAAGTTGCAGCCGCCAATTTGGCAGCTGCGCAAAGATGGCACTGATTATGTTCTTTCAAACTACAATCAAATTGCAGCGCTGGCTGCAACCGTACATGGAAGAAAGAAAGCAATGTGCCATGCGAGACCGAGGATGTGCAGTACGGTTAACCTGCTTTTATAGAATTTTCACATAGACGAATACTTGCTCACCCATTTCGTTGCCCCGATGCTGGACGTGACTGAAATGCAGACGAACAAGCCACGGAAACGCATGTTCCTTTTCCACACTTAGATTCCGTGCTTGATCCGCGCTGAGCTACTAAAAGTTGCATATCAGCAACGGAAGTCATGCGCTAGAGACGCAGTTGCAGAAGCGTGCACCATTGACAATGATTTCAGGTGTTATCCAGTGGCGCACACGGATCGCTTGATGAAATATGGAAGGTCTAAGGACCTCGGGTATTAGACCATCGTAACCAGCAGCGTGAATGTTGGCTGCAAAATGGGACGCTAGCCACGGGAACCCTGATTAAATGAGCGATAATCGCCGCAGACAACCATGAATTTTGCCCCCCATACATGATGCAAGTGATGCATTTACTTTAAAGTATTCTGCAGAGGCATGTCCCGACCACCTGGCCTACTCAGGCGGTAAAACCAAGGTTCCCGGCATGTGGAGGGAATGCAGGTAGCCCACTATGATGCGCCAGTGAACTTGTTGACGTTGGCTAAGCTGTGTATTGCTCTCTCCAGGGAATGAACGCCATTTTCGATGACTTAGAATCGGAGATGGCAGCTGCGGAAGCAAACCTTGCCCAGTTGCGCAGGCACCAAAGCAGGAAGCGAGCGCTGGCGCGCACGAGATTGAAGAGCATGTCCACGAAACTGAGGGTGGTTCTTGGGTTCAGGCAATACCAATCAGAATGAAGACCGCTCCGCGCGTGCACGTCGGGGTCTCCTGGGACTGCCGTTGCTATCGACGGGCTGTTTTCAATGGCCGTTGTAGGACAATTTTGGATGCTTAGGTTCTGGCGATTGCATAGATGACCGGGAGGTATGGGAACACGGCTGGCAGAGTGGATGGTGGGCGTGCAATCGACAGCCAGGTAAAAACTGTGGAGAGGTGCGACAATGTGATAGTCAGCGCCAACGGTACATTAGGAAGTTTCTGGGCTCTTTAAGTGCAACAGCACATGTAAATTGACATCACCCTATTTAAGCAATCTCACGCTTGAGCTTCTCTGGTGGACAATTGTTGTTGCGCAAGGGCTTCATGTACTGCCAGATGATTCCATTTGGATACGTATATGTATGCGTGGGGATTTCCACTGGTGTGGAAATTGCTCTTGCGCTTTAAAGCACAAATCTGTGGCGGGGAGGAGGGGAGTCCAGCACACAAGGAATGCGGAGGCCAGCGCTACTGGCGCTGCAGCAGATGAAGGAACGGCAATGCCGCAGTCAGAGAAGGGTGCAATTGTTAAGGCAGTGCACAGTGCGGCATCCAACAGTAAATATGGTCGGTTAGCTATGTCGAACATAGATGTCACGTTCAGCATGCCACGCGCGATGGCCACGTATTCCTCTACTGCGAAGTAATGAGCAATTCGAAGGCTGCAGAGCTGCCCTCCACCAGAGAGTAAGCAGCCCCGCAAGGCCGCCCATTATCGCTGGAAACAGCGGTATTTGGCAAAATACGGTTTCTGCCTCTGGCCCACCCTGGCCAGATACGGTTCGAATTGAAGCTGTGTTCTTTTTAAACTGTCAGACACAAGAATCCGGTGCAAACCGGAGAATATCTTGCAGTGCAGGTGTGTGTACAGGTAAACAACGCACTTAAGATTAGCGTTTGTCAATGAGTTTTCTGCTCGTAGAGATATAGGTGCTTGCTGAAAATGTGGCAGGTATTCAGGGGAGTACCAGCGGCCAACCGTTTTCTGACAGCCATGTCCTTGGCTGTATCATACAGCCTGTGTTCGACCCACTGGTCCATAGACTACGTTTGAGAGTGAGCCAAGGCATCTGTGGACTCTAGGCATGAGTTCGAAGGTAGCCAAGTCTTGCGCTCTGACGGCCGCTTTTGGTTGGTTTGCTCCAGTCGGCGGGCAGCCTCTCTAAATATCATTTAGACAGGGCTCAAAAAGTCGCCACCCATTGTCCCTTGCTCCCACCAAAGCATCCCCCACAGGGCAAATCCGATTCTGAGGATGACGTGAAGTATAAAGCACCGGAGTTCAAGACTTGGTTGTTATAGAAAGGGTAGGCGACACTGAGCTGACGATCATTGGCATTGCATAGAGGGAGCATTGACGAAAATGAACTTAATTTAGCTGGCCAATGTGTGCGTCGGACGGGGAGATGATTCTGTCAAACAAAAATGGGTCGACACGGCGCTGCGGTGTTTTCTTTAGTAAGGCTGGACACATGCCATCAACAAATCTACCCAACGACTGGAAAGAAATGCAATAAAAACACGGGGGAGGAGAAGGCCCGCTGCCTGTTAAAATATCTAAATTGCGTTCCTTCCTGGCCGTTGTTACATGCACTCCATCTGCCGTTCGGGCACAGAAAAAACATAATGGCAACTCCAAAACGCGTCCCTGAAGACAGCCCGACGGATTGCGTCCAGGAGCAAATCAGCCTAAAAATCAAACGGAAATCGGGGCCGCAATTTACCGCCAGACAAACATGTGCAAAACGGGGTTGTTCGTGCTCGTTTCGTCGTTTATTTGATCCCCACTCCGGACAAAAAAATACCTCCCCCAAACACGGCTCTCCGTTTCTCGGACAGCTCACCCGCCACCCTCGGGGCGCCTGGGCATCTTGCCTCCAGAACATGACGCGTTCCCGGCTGCCCGCCATCTTGCACCGGGCACCGGACCGACCTCAGCCCACCGGATCATTTGGGCACCCACCACACCTCGCCCGTCCAGCCTGTGCCTTGCGGTCATGCGCAGGCGGACTCCCTCCGGCCAGACCGCCCCGCACTGACCGCCCCCCTCCCTTCCCCTTGTGCCCCCGCCCGCCGCAATGGCGATGCGCAGGGCCGCCGGCCTTGCGGCGGCTCAGGTGGCCCGGTCGCTGAGGAATGCAGCCCTGAATGGCGTCGGCCTGCGCGCAACCCATGTTTGCTGGGGCTGCTCGATCGGCGAGGCGGCGCCAGCGGCGATGTCCGCAGCGCGGATCGCCGACCCGGTGATCTCCCGCGGCTTCGCCGCCGAGCCGGCCGTGGCGACCTCGGAGGCGACCGGTCGGGTCACCCAGGTCCGCCCCCTGCCCCCCCCCTGCGCCGATCTGGCCCTCCAAGATTCTCACGGAAAAGATGGGCGGCATGATCTGACACGCCGAGCCTGCTCCTCATTTTGCATGATTTGTCTCCAACGCCACACATGGGCGCTGTCGCGGGGCGGGGCGCCAGGATTGGCGATGCGAGGAAGAGGGGCTGTCCAGTGGTGGGCGCCTCAGTTCTTTTTTGTCCGGGGCATTTTCTTCGGCCCTCTAACGGTGTTTGGCCGCGCTGCACGCAGGTGATCGGCGCCGTTGTGGACGTGCAGTTCGAGGGCGAGCTGCCGCCGATCCTCAGCGCGCTGGAGGTGGAGGACTCGGAGCACCGGCTGGTGCTGGAGGTGGCCCAGCACCTGGGGGAGAACACCGTGCGGACGATCGCCATGGACAGCACGGACGGACTCATCCGCGGCCAGGGCGTCTTCAACACTGGGTCGCCGATCAACGTGAGTGCTCGCCGCGTTCCCTGACTTTGTTGATCTTGCCTGATTCCTTGCCGATCCATCCCTGCGGGCCCTCCCCATTTCGGTGCTTCTTGACGTGATGAAGCGGTGGTTCTTCGACGGGCAGGGGCTGTGCTCGTGGCGCTGGTGGGCTGTGTAAGGGCGCTCTTGCCTGTGAATGTCGGTCGGCAGTCCGAAACGAACAGTTCCAGTGCCTGAATGCCTCAGCCTTGAGAAATTGGAGTCCATGGATTCACGGTCGACAAACCCTTACGCTGCGGGCGTTGGCGTTCCTTTGCAGATCCCTGTCGGAAGGGAGACTCTGGGGCGCATCATGAACGTTGTGGGCGACCCGGTCGATGAGGCGGGACCTGTAGGTGAGTGAACAAAATGAACTAGAAAGTTCGCAAAGGCGTCAGCCCTTGGTTCCTTCTTGCTCAGGGGTCCTCCCCGGCTGCGAGAGGGTCAGGTGTGGCAGCTTTGGTGATATCTAACACTGGCTGAATGACTGGTTTGCTGGTTGCAGTGAGCAAGAGCCAGCTCCCTATCCATCGTGACGCGCCTTCATTTGTTGAGCAAGGCACCCACGTCGAACCCCTGGTGACGGGTATCAAGGTGGGCAGCCTTGCAAATCGATTGCAGCGTGCGATCTCCTTGTATGCGCTCAACACCACTTGTGGTGCACTACTCATTCCCTCATGTTGGTGATTGATGGCTGGAAATCGCCTGTGTCATGAAACGGTGGCGTTTTGAAACCAAGGTTTGGGTCAGGATGTTTGAAGTTGACTGCTCTCCTGTGTGCAAGGTGGTGGATTTGCTGGCTCCGTACCAGAAGGGTGGGAAGATCGGCCTGTTTGGTGGTGCTGGAGTGGGGAAGACAGTGCTCATTATGGAGCTCATCAACAACGTTGCAAAGGCACATGGTGGGGCCTTGTTCATCAATGCAAGTGTGCCTCGCTAGGCATATGCCATGATCTGGATGTTTCAAGTCAGCAGCGCGCTACCTGTTCTTGGGTGCAGACTTCTTTGCTACCGATTATTTAACTGATGATGTACTTGGCTACCGATGATCTAATCTGGATGCAGCTTGTCCCAACAAAGTCCAGACCGCTCAGGACATAATGGTCAAAAAAATGGAATTCAGGTATGCAGCTAGGAATGCGATGCATGCATTTTGCGTTCCTTGCATCAAGAAGATGAGTTCCAGTGCAGTAAAAAGCAAAAGTCTGCGCCCATTCACAAGATATGTGATGTTGGTCCGCTTTGCACCATCGTTTGACCCCTTGTCTGATTCAGCTAACCAAGCACTTATTTATCTGCACAAGGGAACTGAAGGAAGGTGAAGGGGAAAGGGAAGAAGGTCTTGGAAGAGGTTGTCCAGGGCGGGATTGAGAACTTGTTGAATACAAACAGTTTCTTGCTTTTATTGGTGCCTTTCTGAGTGGGTAACTTGGTACCCTGTCTTGAAAACCTGTTCCTGGTATTCCCCATTACCTTGTGCATCAGGGTGCTCAGTTCCTGCCCATCTACCTGGGCATTGCCAGCACCCAGATAAGAAAACAAAAGAGAATGCACTCCAGACCCTGTGCTGAGCACCCAGCACCCTGTCTGGGCAAGCCACTACAAGTATGTGCACGCCCACACCAGTATCTGGCGAGTTGGCGATCGTGCTTATTGTTGGCCCTATGCCCAGCCATGGGTTTTTGCGGGTGCCTGAGTAAGCGGGTGAAGGAAACTGCAGCACCTGGCACAGACACCCACGAACTAGTCTGAATGCCCTCCTTGGAGATGTGCTCATCTGATTGGAAGTTTCTTGCCTCTCCTCACGTGGATGCTGTGTGTGCAGGTGGCTTCTCAGTGTTTGCTGGTGTTGGTGAGCGCACACGAGAGGGCAACGATCTCTTCAAAGAGATGGTTGAATCTGTAAGTCATTCTGTCACGTTGTGCAGAGTGGTTGGTCTTGTTGAATTGACGTGCTTATGCATCCATTGGCATTGGTGAACTGAGTCCTGAATAGTACGATGGAGAGTGTGCTGTAGAGTATACTCGGGAACTATTCAGGAGAATGTGTAGCGGAGGATGCAATGTTCATCAACTGAGTGTCTACTATGATTGCAGGGGGTTATTAAACTGGGTGATCAGCGAGCAGAGAGCAAGTGCACGCTGGTCTATGGCCAGATGAATGAGCCTCCGGGTGCCCGTGCACGGGTTGCACTCACAGGTATGGATGATTCAATATGCACACTGAATTCTGCAAACAGCTCCAGTGGATGAAGACCAGTATGGCTTTTCTGTTGACAATTTTTAGACTACTGTGGATGGACGCTGCCTTCTGTTGGTTGGTAATGTGCCAAATCTGCATCAATGCAAGGCAGTATGCTTGTTGCCCATGTTCTGTAGGCTGGATGCCCACACAAACTGTATGGTGCATGGAAGACCACATCGTCACATTTGATCCAATACATCAACCATGCGATCCTCGTCCCCCAAACCCTTGCCTCCTTAGTCCATCAAAATTCAGGCCGCATGACGAGCCAGCCTAAAATGTTGTGGCACACAAAGACAGTGCACTACTGATCGTTGATGGTCACTGACTCGTTTTGCTGCACCCTTGTCCAGGCCTCACTGTTGCCGAGCATTTCCGGGATTCTGAAGGGCAGGATGTGTTGTTTTTCGTGGACAACATCTTCCGTTTCACGCAGGTGGGCACGTGCATCTGGCTGTGCATGTCAAATCTACTTGAACGCACAGCTCAGACCAGTTGCTCATTCCTCCTTTTTGCAAGGCATGAGAGAGAGTGTGCTCGCCTTCTGTGCCACTGTGACAAGCCTGATATCCTTGTTGATGTGGTCAATCCTTTGGCTGTGCAAGTGACAAAGCACAGTCATGGCGCCATGAAGATTCAGATATGCCTGTTGATTAGTGGCCATTGCAGGGCATATGGGGGTCCTGTGTGATGACCTGAATGCACACGCTGCGGCTTCGATAGAGCATAGTCTGGATGCACGCAAGGTCTAGTTGCCTTGGCGTGGCTGTGGAAATATATTGTTTGACAGTCGCTCTTCTCCGCTGTGCTTGCGGCAGGAAATGTCACTGCCATATGCGGCCTGGAAAGTTACTCTTTGGATGGTGCCGTGCTCTGGCTTTTTGCTGCCTCTGCCTGTGCCCACTGTAGTTTGGGTTACAGAACATGATTTCATATACCAAAGTTAATGCAACATGGAGTGCCAGATAGTACTTAGAAATGGTAGAATGGCCCAAAGGCGCTTGGCTCCACCTGCAATTTTGGAGCACTCTGTAAGAGTTGGGGTGATTCTCCTGAGCTGGTGTCCATTCTGGTTTCCTATGGCGACCAGTGAAAGGGTATTTGTGAGAAGCCAGTTTTTGTGCCAGAGCTCCTATTCTCAGGTTTCTGATGCTTGTGGCATGGCACTGGACAGGCAAACTCTGAAGTGTCTGCTTTGCTGGGTCGCATCCCCTCCGCTGTGGGGTACCAGCCAACCTTGGCCACGGATTTGGGCAACCTCCAGGAGAGGATTACCACCACCAAGAAAGGCTCTATCACATCGGTGCAGGTGGGGCTGTGTATCATCTGTAGTGGATGAAGGTATTGGCATAGCATTGTGCCCTTTATTCTATTTGTGTATCAAGGTGATGCTGTCGCTTGTGAGGTGACAGAGCTAAGCGCAGCAAATTGGGCCAACCATATTTGCGGATCTGTTTGTTCTGTAGTGCTTGTGATTCTCTGTCCATTCCTTGCGATGTGCCTTCCACTGTGGTTTGCTGATAGCTTTTGTAGGCGTTGCTTCTGCATTTGTTGCCCAGCTGTAGATCTCTGCGATTATGCGATGATGCTTTGCTGACCTCAGTGCTGTCACAACAGTCATGGTGGTTGACATGAAGTGCTGCAGTGACATTAGTGACAGCCCCAATAAAAGTCAGCATTTTGTGGACATCGAGACAACTAGCTTGGAAATTTGGTATTGCCGTTTTGAAGTGCCCTTTTGCAGCCAAGTCACTCAGTCTACATTATTGGCTTTGGCAGGCTGTGTACGTGCCTGCTGATGATCTCACGGATCCTGCCCCTGCCACCACATTTGCACACTTGGATGCCACCACCGTGTTGGCGCGGCAGATCGCAGAGCTGGGCATCTACCCAGCCGTGGATCCCCTGGATTCCACATCTCGTTTGCTGGACCCCAGGATCATTGGGCAGGAGCATTATGACGTGGCCCGTGGTGTGCAAAAAGTTCTTCAGGTGAGACTTCCCATCAACTTTGGGTTGATCGACAACAGCAGCAATGTGCAAAAATTCCCTTTGGCTACTCTGCAGGGAGTGATGCAGCGAGTCTGAGAAGAATGCAGTGGACTGTTATGGTACCAGCCCTGCACTGGTGTCAGTATCTTATCCTAAGCTGTGACATGTGCTATTCATCAGGACTACAAGAATCTGCAAGATATCATCGCCATCCTGGGTATGGACGAGTTGTCTGAAGACGACAAAATGACCGTTGCGCGTGCAAGGAAGATCCAGAGGTTCCTCAGTCAGCCGTTTGCCGTTGCTGAAGTGTTTACGGGCACAAAGGGGAAGTATGTGCCTCTCGAGGAGACGATCTCCGGGTTCAAGGGTGTGCTGGATGGCAAGTACGACGACCTTCCAGAGATGGCGTTCTACATGGTGGGCAACATCGATGAAGTTCAGGAAAAGGCGGAGAAGCTCGCCAAGGAGATGGCTGCAAGATAGGGGCCAGGCCGTTGGGCTGCACGCACACAGGGGCAGCTGTTTCTGACAGCAGACGCAGTGGTGCATGGCCACAGCTATACATAGACTTGGCGACTGGGGTTCTGTCTTGCATCTATATCTGTTTCTAGAGTCTTTGATGGTGCCATGCACAAGGGGTATGGAGAGGCATGTGTGTTCCAGATTGTCTGAACTGGCTACAAGCACAGGTACTGGTGGATCGCACAGATGGGTGTACAGGGCCGTGTGGGTGCGGATGTCGTGGTGCTTCCCCACATTGCTGTGCCGCATTCGGGGTTTGCGGGGCACGCACCATCAGCATGAGCTAGTGGGGGATATTTTCCTTGCCGCCCTGAGGAAGCCAGGTGCTGCTTAGGCCTCTCTGGCCAATGTGCGGCAGCTTTGACTGACCAGTGCACTCTGCATGAGCTTCCAGGCTTTGGAATGCCGTTGGTGCCAGCGACCAAGCACCTGTCTTCAAACTGTTCAGTCAAGAAGCTCACATTCCCTAATTTTGACCAGGATGCTTGCGTGTTGCTGCCTCCATCAGGACGGGTGATCCCTGTTCCTACCGCCGCTGAGCCGCTCGCCACTGCCCTCCCTCATAGCTTCGTTGGCGACTCTCTTGTTGTGTGATACGACGCCCGACACGGGCGCGTCATGTCCGCAGTGATGGTACAGCTGCGAGAAACGCGATGTGACCATAACAAATTGACCAATGAGACATCCAGCTGTTTAATTGCAGGCCGCCACAGACTCCTGTGCACTTCGTCTCAACGTGGCATCAGCTTGAATTGTTTCATGACCTTCCTACGGATGATAGGAAGTTCCCACACCGCTGCACACCTCCCAAAAGTGGAGGAGGGCCAAAGAGTCTGTGTGCATTGCTGGCTTGCGGACTGGCTGCGCCTGCGCGATGGAAGCAGCTCCACCTGAGGTGGAGCAATGGAAGCTTTTTGACGATGAGGCACGGGGATCAGGCCAAAGCAATGCCAAACCGCATAATGAGCTCCTTGCTACGAAAATTAGGAAACTTACATGGGGCCCGATTGCATGCGACCCTTTGTCGTGGGCGGGCAGCCACGGCCTGTCATCGTGGTACTGTGGCACGGGTTGGTTCGACGCGCCCGATGCCAACCAGCCAGCGTTCACCATCGCCACTGTCGCGGAAAAGAACACTTTTTGCACTGTGGCAGAGAGATCTGTTTCACCGTCGCAGAAAAAAACTGCAATCCTGCCACTGGCGGCTGACGCCTTGGTTGACATCGGCCGCAGGGCCGGCCAGGGCTGGTCTCGTGCGCATTTCTGCTCTTGGCAGGGCGTATCGTTACTTGATCGAGGATTGGTACCGTAACGGTACTGTTACGATATCTATCTTCGATCAAGCAACGATGCTCCCTGGTGGGAGGAGAAATGCGTACAAGACCCGCCCTGGCCGCCCCTGCGGTCGTCGTCAGCGCAGCCCGGGTGCGTTCCCTCCCGCCCGGCCGCCACCGCCCGTCAGAGCCGCCCCTTGCGCCGGCGCCCTGCTTGGCCTGCGGTTTGTGCGGCCTTTGTGCGCATCCCGTTTCCTCGGAGTAGTCCATCGCCAGAAGGGGGAGCGGCAGGCATGGGCGAGGCGCTGGAGATGCGCGGCGAGTTCGAGGGGCACGGCGACTGGGTGACGTCGATCGCCTGCCCCATGGACCCCGGTTCGGATAAGATCATCACGGGATCGAGGTGCGCGGGGAGGGATGGCGGTTGCCGATCGGGTGGGGCGGCGGCGGATGTGGCGGCGGCCGCGAGTGGCATGCGGAACAGGGGGGATCGGTCGACTGGAAATTGGGCCGGGCTTGATCTTTTTGGTTGGCATGAGTGGCTGTGGGGAATGAGCGGGGGGAAGGGGGCGGGTGCGCAATGGTGGGTTGTTGGTGTGGGGCCGAGGGCCGAGCGGCTTGTTGCGGTGTTCGTTCCGTGTTTTTGCAGCGCTTCTTGGTGTTTGAGACGGATCGCAAGGGTGGCACGGCCTGGGTGCGCCCGCAGCTGGCTCCTGTGCTCCCTGTGGACCTTTGGCCTCCAGAGGCCCAGTGATCACGGGGGCAGCTTGGGCTAGGTGGAGCGCCCAAGAGCGCGATCAAAGGTCCCTCGAAATGCAATTTTGGGGGTCGACGCGCGCCTGAGAATTGTTTCCCTGCCGGGTTTGCGTGGGCAGGGACAAGACGCTGATGCTCTGGCGGCTAGACACGGAGCCAGACGACCATTCAGCCCGCCCAAAGGTCGTGGGCTACCCCCTGAAGTCGCTGCATGGGCATTCGCACTTCGTGCAGGACGTGACAATATCTTCGGACGGCCAGTTCGCGCTGTCCGGCTCATGGGACGGCACCCTCCGGCTGTGGGACCTCAACGCAGGGACGACGTCCCGCCGTTTCGTGGGGCACACCAAGGACGTGCTCAGCGTTGCCTTCTCCATCGACAATCGCCAGGTGGGCGGGTGTGTTGTGTTGCTGCCCTCGGACTGTTCGTATGGGGTGCCAAGGGCAAGGGGCTGCTGAAATATCGAGAGAACCGCGGTGAATGTGTTCCCAATATTGTCTTAATGAATCATGATACCCTTTCCTTCTAAAATCGTTTCAGAAATCTGCCCTCAATACTGGGTGGATGTGAGTTTGAACACGTTAATCTTGCACCTGCAGGGCTGGAGAAAGGGCAGTTGACCACTTTTCTGCAGTCAGTTGCATTCCCAAAGCAGGCACCGTCGCAGCCACTATCGCAGGCACTGTGAAGCTGTCTTGCAGTTTTGCAATTTTGGGCAGCGTTGTGCAAAGATTGAATAAATTGTTACAAAAAAGTACAACGGATGGATATTGAATTTGAGCGTGCTGGTCACTGAGCTACCTTTTAGTGAGTGTTATATGTCATAATGGAATTGCAATCTTATTGCTGCAGATTGTCTCAGCTGCCCGTGATAAGACGATCAAGATATGGAACACCCTTGGGGAGTGCAAATTCACCATGGGCGATCAGGACGGGCATACGGAGTGGGTATCTTGTGTGAGGTTCTCACCGGACACCACGAACCCCATGCTGGTGTCCGCTGGATGGGATAAGAAGGTGAAGCCACGTTTGCTCACCAGATGAGCGCCAGGCCCATGGCAGCCATGTGCAGATAATAGTGGACTGCTGATCTGTTGTCCTTCATTGAATTCCCCAAGGCTCTTCTGGCAACCAGGCACAAATCACCCGTCCAGAGACCATTTGACCAGTTGAGAGAATGCTCCTTTGCATTGTGAAATCTGGAGGGAAGCAAATTCCCATTCATGTTGCACATTTTGCGATGTGGTGTAACCCTCACGTGTTATAGTCATGTGGTGTTCCTGGGTGCATGGTTGTCCCTCTGTTGTTGTATTCTGTGCGCCACTTGAGACTTGCTCGAATGTTTATGGCTGCCGAGGATGTGGGTACTATTCTGAAGAGTACTGTCCACTGTGAGCATGTTTTCAATGCGCAGTGTCTTTGAGAAACAATCCCTGTTTTGCCAGCAAGCTGGTTCGTGAAAGTCTGGGGCTTGGACTATTCCACACAATGTATTTGCACTGTTATGCTCTGGCGCTATGGTTTGCAAGGACAACTGGAAGGCAATGTTGTGTTTGCAGATCAAGGTGTGGAACCTGACCAACTGCAAACTGAAGACAGACTTGGTTGGCCACACTGGCTACATCAACACGATCTCTGTTTCCCCAGACGGCTCACTTTGTGCATCGGGCGGCAAGGTAATGTGCCTTGGGTCACTGTGATGTTATAGAGAGGCCCATGAGTTGATCATTCTGGAATTTGACTGATAAATCATTCACGCATCTGGTTGTGCTTGTCCAGAAATGCTTGCACCTGTTTGCCGGCAGTTTTTGTATTTTTATATTCTTTGTATTTTTTTTGTATTTTGTGTCCTGATTGTCTCCTTCGGGGAGCGGGTGTCCACCAATCTCTCAGGTAATGTTTCGCCTGGACCCACACGTCTAGTGCTGTCGATCGACCGCTATTCGCGTTTCTATCCCTAATAGTTTGCTGGCATGTGCTAGTTCGCATGTTGCTCAGGATTCACATTGCATGCAGACACCGTATTGCTCTGCATGTGGGCAGACTTCCTCTCTTGTCACCTGCTCGTTTTGAGCGCTCTGACGTGTGGTGTGTTCACAGGACTGTGTTGCCATGCTTTGGGATCTTGCAGAGGGCAAGAGGCTGTACTCTCTGGATGCTGGCGATATCATTCACTCGCTGTGCTTCTCTCCCAACCACTACTGGTTGTGCGCAGCAACTCAGTCAGCTATCAGGATCTGGGATCTGGAAAGGTAGGTCATGGCTACGATAGCTGGGGGCTGCAAGCGCTCTTGTGCAGGCTGTGTTGGCAGTCTGGAATGCTGGTTGCAGACAGGCCGATGCCACTGAAGAATACTGCACTGCAAAGAATACTGAATGACTGTGCACACTGTTGTGCCTGTGCCTGATATTCTTGCTTTGCCGGTTGCAAGGGTGGCTATCATGGTTAAACGCAGTAGAGGGTTGACGTTCCTTAAACTCTGTGGATTCTTAATCTGTGCTGTTGCCCTGAGATGGCTGCAGTGGCTGAGCCAGCGTTGTTTGGCTGAATTGCAGCAAGAGCGTTGTCGCTGAGGAGAGGCCCGACTTCCAAGGGAAGTACACCAAGACGAACCCGCCTTACTGTGTCTCCTTGGCTTGGTCTGCCGATGGCAACATGCTGTTCTCCGGGTACACGGACGGGAAAGTGCGTGTGTGGGAGGTCGTCTCCAACCAGGGGATGTAAATTTCCGGTCGTCTTCCTTGTTGATACCTCCCCGCTGTGGCTGTTGCTGTGGCTCCTCCGACAATGTCGGTATCCTTGCCATCTTTTCTCGCGGAGTGACCCAGACGGATGAAGATTTAGGTGTACTCGAGCGGAGGCAGGGGCACGAAGGCGTTGGGAACGGAGAGCATGGGTGGGGTTGATGAGCGGCAAGCACGCTGTGAAAGGCACTATGGGACTCCTGGAGCAACCCGCAGGGTGGTGCTGTTGTTGGAAATTAGTTCCTGACTTTGTGTCGATGGAGTGTTGGGGGCAGCGTGTAAGTCCTTGGGCTACGGCAATCCAATTGGACAGAGTGGACCCGGCCACTTGCAGGGCCATGTGTTTGTGCCAGCGCAAATCCCCTGATTCCATCTGTGCCGAAGTGACGGAGCACATGCCTTATGCCTGCAAGGCGATGTGGCACACAAGCGTGCATGCGGACTGTCCTAAATACAATCGCCGCAGCCCAGTCAACGGAATACAGATGGGCGGGCTGTGTCTGTTGAGCTGTTGGCGAGCCATGCGGACCGGCATACGGTGCCGCATGACAGAATATATGCACAGATTCGAGGGCTTGATGATGTTCTGACGGATATCGAGAGACACAGGTCAGCTGGAGCACTTCTGTCGATGGCGTTGGCCAGGAGAGTGTATTCGTGGAACGACGGACCTCATGTCGCCATCCGTCCGTTCGTTTGATGAACGTTTTGGGGAACCTCTCAATCAGAACGCTGATCCTGTCTCCATGACCAAGGTTGGAGCGTTGCCCATACCACTTGTGGCAGTTTGCAGCGGGATTGGATGCAGATATGCATGTAGGTGATGCTGATCACAACAAGATCTGATGGCACACACTTCCGTGGAACATAACTGTATTAGAATGGAAGTAGACGAAAGCGCTGTTCTGCCACTCCACACTTGCATCCAATGCATCTGCCTCGAGTGTCACAGTGAACTGAAGCAGCGTAAAATTCATTCGTACTGTGTCATGGACTGCCGTGCTTCCCACCTTGATGCGCTGCACACGTTTCAGTGTTGCAGCAAGGCGGCAGAATGTCCTTCGACCAGGGAGGATGATAGAAACCACAATCTCTGTTCCCTTCTAAATGTTTTCTTGGTCAGCAGACTTGATACCCAAGCCATTGGTATCGGAACACTTCCAGATAGCTGGTGCCGCTGTCCTTTACCCATTCCTCAGCTGTCCTCGGTGTATAGTTTGATGATCTGTTCATGGGCCTGAAGTGTACCTCCTCCGTCTGTCAGCATGCCGTTGTGAGCTATCGAGTGCTGAGAAGCAACGGCTCGTCCCGTCACTGGGGTCTTCGCATAGTCTTCAAATGTCTATGCGTGCCTGAGCTTTCCAAGCACCTTGACTATGGCCATGGAGACTACCCCTGTCATGACATGAACACAAAATTTTGCGTCCTGTTCGCCTGCATTCACACAGGGATGCAGCTCTCAAACCTTCGCAGGATGCCAGGATGCTATAACAGAATACCAGGATTTTGACGGTCTGCATGTGTTGGTCATGGCAAGTTCGGCAACAGACATTGCTGATATCATGACCGGCATTACGTGGCAGATGCAATGGTGACATGGGCAATATCGAAGCAGAATAAGCTGTTCTGACAAAGGGGCGGAACTGACACTGGTCCCTTGAACCAAATCGAACGATGGATTCCACAGTTTCCTGTGGTAGACTGTTGCAGAGATGGCAGGGCAGAAATGCATGGAAATCAATACATTCGAAACTGGGAAAAACCCCAAAATACATGCGCTTCTTTATGACCTGTTCTGAAACTGCAGACAGGTAGCACATTTTGTGCAACAAAATTGCCAAAATTGCCAAATCGTCTCTCTTCAAAACTGGATAGACAAAAGAGGGGAGCCCCACAAAACACTTGATCTTTCCTTCGCCAATTACCCCCGGCACATGTTGTACCCGATCCCACCCCGTGTTCTTTCCCGTGCCAGACATCAATCAGGCATGCCGACCCTTGTTGCCAAGTCCCCTGTGCTCCAAGCCTGCTCCCCATTCAGGCACTTCCCTTTCCGACACCTTCACCAAATACTCACAAAAATTCCACCCCGAAAGGGAGCCGCCAGCCACAGCGCAACCCTCCATTCTTCTCACAAGGCAGTCTCAACCCCAAAATGGACCACCACACTCCCAACACCGCTTCCACTACCATTTTCTCCCCACGGACCCAAATCACAGCCCCTTGATGTCCCTGCTGACGCCCGCGTCCACGGCCCACACGGTAATCGCGGACGCCACCGCCACGAACTCCTTCTTCGACTGCGCCAGCCCGCCTCCCCTGGCGGCCGCCTGCAGGGCCCCAACCCCCGCCATCACCTCCCCCAGCGACCTCTCCGCCTTGCCGTTCCCGGCGCTCAGCCTCTCCCCCGCCTTTCTGAAATCCCCCACCCACGACCCGTCGCTCATGATCACCGCCGCGCCCTTGGTGTCCCCGGCCTCGAGGGCCGCCCCGGATCGCGAGAGCTGCACCACGGCCGCCTGGACGGGCCTGAGCTCAGACTCATCCCTCCGATTGCGATACCCGCCCTCCTTGACGAACTTGCGCTCGGCCTCCATATCCGCCTGTATGCGCTGCTGTCGCCGCTCTTTGGCCTTCTCGATCAGGTCCGCGTCGTCGTCGTCGGGCAGCAGCGCCCACGCCGGCATCGCCAGGACCGCCGGCGCCAAAATTGCCGATCCCAGGACCTTGCGCCTAGCCATTTTGGCAACATCATCCTCCCTGGGCGATGGCTCGGATTTTGAGCACAGGGCCCTGAGAGGTCGGCGAGCGGCCGAAGGGGGGATCGCGGGGTGGGATGGCTGTGAGGGCCGCAAGGGCGTGGATGCCGCGGCGATCGGCGCCGATGCCTGGCAGCCGAGCGGCATTGCGCTGGGTGCGCGGCCGCTTTGGCGGGCTGCCTCGCGCTGGGCGGTGAAGGGGGGGAGGAGAGAGGGGGTCGTGGTCGCGCGGTAGAGTGCGGGAAAAGATCTGGCGCGGAAGTGCCTGGAGTAGGAGGGGGCGGGGCTGTGTCGTGTCGACAAACGCGGAGCAGGGGCCTGACGTTGGCACATCGGGAGCGCAAAGTGCGGGCTTGAATGAAATGAGCAAAAAACGAAAAAACGAAAAAACGAAAAACTGAAAAACTGAAAAATGAACAGATGAACAACTGAACAACTGAACAACTGAACAACTGAACAACTGAACAACTGAACAACTGAACAACTGAACAACTGAACAACTGAACAAATGAACAAATGAACAAATGAACAAATGAACAAATGAAGGGATAAACAGATGAAAAGATGAACAGATGAACAAATGAACAAATGAACATTTTGATGACGTCTTTCAATGATGTGCGGACACTGGCCGTCCTTTCTGTAATTCAATCCTTCCCCTCTCGGAGCTCTCGCTCACAGCACGCCAACCCGCTGCCGTTGGCGGTACACAACCCCGACCAGGTGGAAAGCTGGTTCTGGCCATCTCAACGGAGTTCAAAATTCATGAGAAGACTTGAATCTGAAAGAAGAACCCCGAAACTGATACAGCACAAACGGGAAACTGAGCCGAATGGGCTATGCTGAGGCTGGATTGTGCGTTTTAAGTGTCGAACGAATGAGCGCACCCATGATTGTGATCGACACTGCCCTGTTCCAACATGCATGCTCTCGCCGTGTCGACCTCGTTTGAAAAATGTGGGCTTGGGGCTCCCTCCTTACCTTCCCATTCGCCGGTTAGTCTCACAATCTTTCAGAGCTTGCGTGATGCTGTGTCCCTCCTGCAGGTTGATTGCATTGTTCAAAAGTACTGGACAAACATGCCTTTGCACCTTGAAGGCGATGTCGGGCCCAGCTCCACACACAGATTTTGCTGGCAGCGCTTTGATCTTCATGCCCGTCCCACGGCGTTGCACGTGGTAATGGGATACCGTCCCACGGCCAAAGAGTGGAGCATTCTGCAACGGACTTCGAATCATGAAACGGAGTATTGCGACCGCAATGCGACATGCGCAGTCCGTGCCCCACAGGGATCGATGACAGAACTCAGGCTGTGGTGGCGTTGGACAGTTGTTCCTGTTCCCCTTCTGCTCCCGCAGGAGGAGAACCACCTCGTATTTTTGCGTCGCAGGATTCCGTGCAGTCTTCGAGGCTGCAGGACTGAGGTCCAGGCACAGGATTCAGGGACCGACTCTCACCAAAACTCGCCTGGAGCCAGAGCGATGGCTGTGTGGTGCGAAGTCGCCTTCGTCACTGAGTGCAACGGAACCGGGCGGGAATGCCCGCCGTCCCAACGTCGAAGCCACCAGGCGTGTCTTCTGCATTGCGATAACGTGCCAATGCGCACTGCAGAATTGAAACTCAAGACATGCTTGCAGTTGTCAGAGCGCTTGACGGGCACAAGAAACCATTGCGGCTGCAAGCAGGACCCTGTCGCATCGTGCCGTCATAAGACACTTCCGAAGCGGTTCTGTACCCTGTGGCGAATCGCACGATACTGTCTCCGCCAATCGCATGCTGGACGTGATTGTGTAAATCCTGAATATCCAGGATAAGTATTTACAGCACTGGAGGCAATCAACCCCCCTGCACGTCAAAGGCCTCGCTTGGCAGCGCGCAATGCGTTAACATTCACGCCCTCAACACAGTTCCCCATTGGCCCCCCTCTCCCAAACTAGTGTACAAGTACATGTAGCACTCACGCAGATGTCGCAAGCCACTCTCGCAAGCTCGTGCTTCAGCAGTCCAATCCACACATCACCAGAGACCCCAGTAAGGAAGCGACACCAAGTCCTACATCCCATGTCGTGCAAGGAAGCTTTCCTTGCCTCCGCATAAAACTGTACACGCCACAAAGGGCAAGGCATTGCATATTTTCTGTCCACAACAGAGATGCAAAAGCCCAAGCTGGATACCACACCAGCGGGTCCACGCACCCAAGGGCACATCGTTGCTCATCAAGCTGGTCCAGGATCGCCTTTCAATTGCCAGCTTCACTTGCTTAAGCAGTGAATCAGTAGACATACACTGGCTTGACAACTTCCTCCTTGGTGTGCAACACGTGCTGCATGCCAACACAATTTCGTCACCAAATGGGAACCGCAAGGACTGATACCCGGAACACAGAGCAAAAGATATTGAATACAATGCAGCCTGGGCCGGTATGCAGCCTGGGAATGCTGGATGCTGCACCAACAGGGTAGCCTCATTGTGTCTGTGCCCAGAAACGCGCCGGAAGCAAAACGACATTTGACAAGGTAAAAGCACAGCAACCATGTCTACTCACCGTGGTGTCTTCCTGATCTCCACAGTACGCCAAGTTGGTGCAAACCTCTTCTGCAGTAAGGCCAGAGGCAATGGCATTCATTGCCTGACACAGCGGCAAAAGTTTAGAGCTCTAGGTCGCCAACAGCGCTGCTGTTCCTTTGACCAGCATTCGCCTGTTGTGGCATTTGGCAGAGTGAGGAGCTGTGAGACATAGGGCAACAGACACATATGGTGGATGTGTACTTGCACATCCTGGGCTGAAAGGCACAAAGTTACAATACTTCCGCAAAGGAGCCAGCACAATCGGACTTACACAAGATGCTGTGCATAGCCCTTAGTGAGGAATGGAACCCTTGCAACGGTCGACCATTCAGCCAACTGCAACAGCAGTGATAGACCTGTGATGCGGTGAGGCAACTGAATGGACTGCACTTCAGCCTTCTACTCACCTCAACGGTGTAGTTGCCAAAAGCCGCATAACACTGTGCAGAGTAGACCGGAACCCAGGCGCAAGGTCTTGACAAGTACGATGCCACATCCTTCTGAGTGTCAGGGTTGCCAAGATCCTCAAGAGCATCTTGAGCCTTGTCCTGTCACACAGCACAATATAACTTGGATGCTGGCAAGACCCAGTGCATTGGCGGAGTAAGACCCTCCACTCACATGTTTCTTGCACGTCAAGCCTATGCATCTGTTGTATTCACAGAGACCTCCTTATGTATCTCCCTATGTATGCTATTTGCCACCTTGCATGACAGTTCAAGGCGATGCAGGCATCCAACGGACTGCTTGCAAGATGATCAGTGCACATGATCTGGCCGAAGAATTTCGCCACCAGACTGTTGCTGAGGATAATACCTTGCACTGCTGGCACTTGTCTGCATCATTGGAAGCTCCATAGGCCACCATTTTCTGCACGAGCCGTGCTGGGATGGGATCGACCACAGGTAGATTGTTTGGTGCTGGGCACAGTCGCAGGTCAGAGCACGTCTTCTCTACATCCCCATCCTTTTCCCTCTCGATGAAATACACCAGCAGGTAGCCTGTTGGGCAGACACAACAGAACTTTCAACACTGTCATGCGCAGTTGGAAACGACCCTTAGGATATTTTGCAAACTTGAAAGGCAACTGTACACACTTGACAACTGAATTCATGGGGGTGTCAGCAGAAGCAGGGGTAATTGGGGGCAGCAGAGATTACCATTATTATCCAGAAAGGCTATGCGACCAAACTCAGTTCTTTGTCCTTCAAACGACTTTGCACATGTGATGCAAGCACAACCTGGCAAGGACAGTAGATGAATATGCGAATGTACAACCATGTTCACTTACCATACTTATCAACGAGCTGCTTGCACCGGTCCTGCATCTGCTCATCTTGCAGTTCTTCGCATTGCTGTAATAGCAACAACAGTGAGTTCAGCCGATGTCGATCTTGACTTTCATATTGGAGACCTGCCTCCCATTTAGGACAAGCTAGGCAAACAAGGAGGGCACACATCTTCTCATAGTGCAAACATGATGGGAACATGCGCTGGTCCTGCATCTGCTCATCTTGCAGTTCTTCACATTGCTGGAATAGCAACAACAGTGAGATCAGCCGATGCTGATTCTGACTTTCAAATGTGGAGACCTACCTCCCATTTAGGACAAGCTAGACAAAGAAGGAGGGCTCACATCTTCTCAAAGTGCAAACATGATGGGAGCATGTGCTTGCAATCAACATGTAAAGAAATGGAATGTAAAGATCTCCAGTCGGATGTGCTCTGGCGATGTGGTTGGGGCACTTGAAATAGCACCAGGACACAGACTTCAGCAACCATGCGCTCACTTCAAAGACAGCGCAGTGAGAATGTGGCGAAAAGTAAGAGGACATCCACAATGACACAAACGAACCAACAGGCCAACTTGTGAAGTGTGAGCACCTCTTTCAGCTGCTCGATCTTGGCGATCAGCGTATCAGGCTGCACCCTCCCAGCCTCCTTCTTCACAATCGCTGTCAAATTCTTGCACACAGTGCATTCATAGTCCTCATCCTGTCCCTGAAAGAAACCAGCAGAAACCCAAGACCTCATCCACGCAATCCATTTGAACAAGTGTGCAGAACATTACTAACAGAGCAACAATGGTGTGCACATCAATCATCCATCAGTTGGCCTGGAAAGTTTTCCACAGCATTGTGAGAGCTTTCACATGGGGAGGACAGTGTATTTGAGACAATCAACAGAGGCGCACTATAAAGGAACTTGTGCGATGCTGCCGGTACCCATATGTGTACTCCCCACACTTGATTTCGTGCGTGGGCAAGGCAAACGTCTCTGCATCTTGAATACCTGCTACACTGACAGCACTGCTCACAACCTCCTACTTGGGGCATGGGGCCACAAGCCCCATCTTGTACTGCACACACAGCGTAATTGGTTGCAACCCAAGCATGCACTGCACCTATTTTGCCTGGCCTTGACTTGTCTGACCTTGCTGTAACACCACACACTTCCAAACAACATCAGTGCCCACTCACCACCTCCACCACCACATTGTCCAGCCCTGCTGGCCCGCAAACGTTGATCTCTGTGCACAGGGCTGTGTTGGAAATCGCTTCCACCCACTTGATGATGGCCGGCACAAACGTTGGGGCCTTCTCCACACACTGAAAGGCGACCACAGCACAGTCAAACACGATACCAGCACCAGGTCCTGGTTACAATCGGGCAGATGCTGCGATGCCTTTGTGAATGGTGACCGACGGGGGTGTGAAACAAGGTCTGGACCATACTGGAACAGTAAAGTCTGCGGCCGCAGAGGGAAAGATGCAGGCTAGCCAACTTGCGAGTTGCTGATTGGTTGCATGCCACTTGGTCAAGCACAGTATCTTGCATTTATGGTGCGTTGGGCCAAATTGCCGAATGCCACAACGATATTCTTTTTGCCGTCTTGCATTCTTGGCATATGCATGGGGACCACCAAACAATTTGGGAGCACATTCTTGATGTCCATGAACTTCTGCACATCATCGCCTGCAGGTTGCAGGGGCTGTGTTGGAACTTGTTTGGACTAATGTTGTAAATGACACTTGAAAGCAGTGTTAAGCGAGCATAATGCAGTTGTCCGGCTGCAACAACCAAAATCTGCACAGAACGAGCAGAATGTACGCCATATGTGTGCTGCTTGCAATGGCAATCGCTGCTGCCCAGGAGCAATCACACATAGCTACAGCAGCAAGATCATGGGGGTTTGCTGATGCATATCCACACCTCCTCTTGAAGGCTCTGTGGAAGGTGGGGGCATATGCGCTGCTCCACGAGATTGATCTGCTCCACACACAGGCTCCATCAGCATTTGGTGCGATCTTTGTGCCAGAGCTCCACTCCATCTAAACCAGAAATCCACACAAGAGAGGGACTACAAACAGCTTGGCAATCAACAATTGCAGATGCAAGACCAACCAACACTGGCTCATGGATGCAATGAATTTACATGGATTGCAGTTGTCATGGCAAGTTCATGACAAGTTGCCCCTTGAATCCTTCCAGTGATTCTGGGCGCAGAACGATCCAGTCAATTTCACTAATTCCTCAAGATCGTAAGTGCAGACACTATCCAAGTATGCATCGTATGAGGAGCGGCACAAGCATCGTCTGATAGATGCAAGTTCAGGATATTGTGATAATTTTGGAAGTGGAATCAAAGAAGATTTTGAGAGCCAACGCACCAGCCATTCGTCAACCCTCTCATCTTGGAGAGCGTCATCCACAACAGCCACAAACACGCTGCAAGCCTTGCACATCCCGCCACTGGGCTGTGGCTCCGTACCAACGATCGCAGGCCTGACTGTCACGGGTTCCTCTTCAACTGGGCACAACAGTCCTGTCGTTTGAGAGGGCACTGGTAGTACCTTGCATTTTACAAGGGATAGCACACGCCACAGCTAGGCCATCAGTGTGCCAAGCACAGCAGCACGGTCCAAATGCATGCTGGGCCCTTCAACTTTTGCCAGCCTCAAAAACACCACGATGCGAGAAAGATGCCCACGATTTGAAGGGAGGAAGGGATGCCAGCTCCGGGCATATACAGGTAAGGGACAGTGGCCTAGCCTCACAAAATGCCCGAACCAGGGGCTTCTAGCAGCTGGCAAAGGCAGGCATGTTACAACGAAATTCTAGGATCCTCGCCGCGAATATTTGTGCCATATTTGTGTCGCTGCGGTTGTTCCGTTGTGCACAATGGATATGAGAAAAATGATGTTGGCCCAAACAGGAAATACAGTAGTGTGCACTTCTTGCCAGACACTTTCCCCGTGTACGTGGATCCAAGCCTATCTATCCCGGGCGCTCCGGGTTCTGCTCTCCGATTTTCGGTTGCCACTATGCGAAATTGATTTGCTGAACTGCATCGTTGAATTGCACAAAGCAGCAGCAAGCAGCTCCGTAAGAGCGCTCCAGAGACGAAATCTCTGGAAGCAAACAAACCAATTATCTCCCAAGCCATGAGAATTATGGTCAAAGAACGTCGGGGCCTTCACGATGAGGCAGATTTCGTGCAGATGGCTGTCTTCCCCCAAATTCTGGCAGCAAACAGCGCCAGTCGCAGCACACATGCACTGTGCTGTGACACGACCACCGTTTGCGCGTCTAGCTCTGGAATTTACAACGGCAGTGAGAAGCCGCCCCCTGCTGGTACTCCCTCACGCGCGCCGCTGGCGCACCTGGTTTTCCAGCCATCCAAGGGATGCCCGTGCCCAACTCACCTCGACATTCAGCCAACGTTGCCAGCAACAGCCCCGCTGCCAGGCACGCCAAGACGCGGAGGGCTGCCATCGCTGCGCGGCCCCAGTCGTGAGCCCGTCGTCCCTTGTGGCCGGCTGTGCTCAGAGCGGGGGCCAGGGGAAGCGCAGGGGTCGCGGCAAGTGGCAAGGCATTTGTAGGGCGCACATGGCAGCCATGATACACTGTGCCCGACGTCAGCACGACATGCAGGGCCAACACGCCTCCTGCTTTCTAGCGTACAAAATATACTTCCTCTGTCCAAGATTAGTTGCCGTCTATTTGGGTGAAATTTCCTTGAAACTGTGCAGGTACAATGGAGAAGTAAAGGTACAAAATCACAGACAACAATTAATCTTGGATGGAGGAAGTATTTAACATATTTTTTTTACAAGATTACTTTAAAATTAAATTCTAAAACTGTAAATTTGCAAAATTTCCTAAATTCCCACAAAACTGCTGGAAAAGTTCGAGGGCTGACAAGGGAACTCCTGCCACAACTGAAAAACAGTTGCGAAGAAGGCACCAATGATTCTATGTACTGGACAAATCAGTGCTTGCACACTTATCCCACGACGAACGGCGCGCAGTGCGTGGCGCACATATGCAGCTACAAAAAGAAAACGCCCACACGGAACTCTGGCTTACATATTTGTCAGCCCGGATCCGTGTGAAATTTACCTTGTGGGGCTGCGTGCCCGCATCCTCACTCGTATGGGCGCCTTTGGACTGGAGATAAGTGCGGAGTCTGTGCTTCCTGCGAGCACCTAAAGGAAGCCGTTTGAGTCATCGCTCACTCGACGAATTTTATCAGCGCATGACCACCGCACATCGGAATGGGCAAGCGACGTGCAGTCCACCGCTTGACAACTCCCAGGCGGTGAGGTAATTCATCAGGTTTTATTGGACAGTTGAACCGGCGTCCTGAGTATTCTCTTTTGGCAAAAGAACGTAGCGGTTTGCTCCAGAAACAACGCGCGTTATTCTCAACAGTTTTGTTTCAAAAATGTCACTGGAATTTTCCCTGTGCGTCTTATTATATGCATTGGCTCAAAAGATCGTAGTACTTGAACGGCATGCATTGTGATTGCGGACGCAAGTGCTGCAATTTCCTCGCGGTGGCTGCCTTGGTGGCGGATGAATATTTCAGGATCATATCGCCAGTGATATGATCCGGATATAAAAGCAAAGTAGCTGTCAATGTTTCATTAAAACTTCAAACGCATTCGCGGATTGTCAACCACAGGAATCTGAGCCCACCCTTCATAAAACTCGAGACATGTGCACAGCATTTTTCTGCCAGTTCTGCCCCATTTTTTCAATCCAAAACACGCCGTCAGATGAAGCAGCGATCGCCAACAATCGACTTGAACTGATTCAAAATCGGGAATTTGCTTCACCTCAATTTGAAGTTGAAGAGAAGTAGGAACATGATCAGCAACGAATTTAACAAATGAAATTCCTGTCGGCACATCGTGCATGCGACGCACACATCTTGATTGGCGCTTCGTGCCTTTCTGCAGGTGCTTGACCATTAAGTACTAAAGCCACCTTGCGTGAAATGACCTAAGCAGCACTTTGTGCATGTGCTATACTCCATCAAAACAAAGAAGAAAGAAACAAATTTTGGGAAAAAAGTCAAACTGTGAAATCGATCACTATTTTATGACCGTATTTAGGCCCAATTGTACAATTTCTAGAAATTGACAATTTGTACGCCCGATGAAATTTTTTGCTCATCTGACCTCTCTGTTTGAGCTTTCTTCGCCACACACTTTATTTGAATGTCAAACCAGCGAACTCAAAGGCTGACGGGGCTTTTGCTGGAATGTTAGATGAGGTTTGATTGTGAGGCCATCAAGAATCATCATTAATGGACTGCCAAGTCAGCGCATCGTATATCTGAATGCGTTCTCAGGGTTCTCGGAATTGTCTCTTGTGAATTTGCTTCTCTTGTGAATTGGAACAGTTCTAGGTTTAGGCTAATGTAATATGGGTCGAGTCGTGAGCATGGCAGAGGGCGCGTCTGCAATGGATGAGCTGCCGTAATGGGGAAATCTCATGGCGATGTGAACCAGTCTCAGACCGGCGGTTTTTATGTAGCTTTAGTGAAGAGCCCAGGTCTGCTCGGGATTTCTCTTACTTTGACCGTGTAAGACCAGTCGGGTCCGTGATCTATTGGACTGAGCACGTCGAAGTGCCTTTGAGCACCGCGTGCGACAAGGTCCGTTGCAAAAAGTGACATATCCTGGCAATACATATCCAGGGTATGGACACATCACGGATCTATGCGCCATATCCTGGATATGCATATCCAGGATATGCATATCCAGGATAAGATGTCCATATGTTATTCGAGATCTAGGATATCCTAGATTGGGATGTAGGACATTTGCTGACGCTGTTCCGTAGCTCGGCTGTCTTTGGTCGAATAGCACGCGGCGCTCAAAGTTCTGTTGCATGCCTGCGCTTTGTCTGTGCTGCGTCTGATCTGCAATGACAGGAGGTCTTTTGACTCATTCATTGCAGAATGTAGTGCCTTGATTGCAACGGAAAAGCCATCTTGCTGCTGGTCGGAGAGCGAGCGTAGTGCAGAATTGCGGTACGACTATGCATTGTCGAGGGAAGCCCCTCCCGCCTACTTTGGTCAGTTTCGCTCCTGCTGGGCTCAGCCCAGTACTTGTGCTTCTGAAAGTTATCACTTACAGACAAAGGGGAATGACGCATCCTTGGCAATTGGATGCGGCGTTCAGTCTAACGTGAGCCCAAGTGCCTTCAAATACATGTACGTTAATCCCTAAAGGTGCATGTGATGTCAATTGACGATACGGGGTGCGCCTCAGGGGAGGCATCCAAAAGGCTTTGGGATGCCTATCTAAGGCAGACGTAATGCCTCTCGCACCCACAAATGTCCGATACTCTTCATTCCCGGACATGAAGTCATGAAGGTCATGACATCGTGAATTAATGAACTGGTGAAGGTCACAAAGGCCAGTTTGGGGTTTAGGGTGCTTTAGAAGTTAGGATTTTAGGTCCTTAACATCCTTCATTACCTTCATATCCGGTAATGATAGGTATCGGACAATCCTCCACGCACCTGGATCAGACCATGCTTGATCGCCCATCCCGTGTCGACCCACCGCCGCCGAGGTGACGGGGAGTCGATGGACCTTCTTGATGACTTCGCTCCGCTCGGCGCTTGCGAAATCAACCAGTTCCAACTCGGGAAGTGGCCCGCTTGGCGCGTGGCACATCAATCAGTTCGCACTCGAGGGGTGGGGTCGACTCAGGATGGGTCGACTCAGGATGGGTCGACTCGGATTGCGGAGCCGCGGAGCAAAATCATCAAGAAGGTCCGTCGACTCCCCCGCCACCTCGGTGGCGGCCGATCGGGCATCCAAGCGGCGCCGCTCGTCAATGACCCGCCAAAACCGCCGCCCAGCATCGGCAGCCTCAACTCGCTCCAAGCCATCAGCGCTGGTGGCTTGGCGCTGGAGCCCGCAGGGGGCCAGACTCGCCGTACTTTACCACCCCGCGTCACCCCCATGCGGATGCATCCATGCACCCTTCGCCGATGTCCCCCGCGCATATTCGCTCGCACATGCGATCCCCGGTCCCGTGGGGCTACAAAGGTTGGCGCTGGGGGTGCGGCCGCCTGAGCCGCCGGGCCCAGCACCCTCCCGCTGCCCTCCCCCGCCTCGGATTGGAGCTCCAGCCTCCGGCAGCCATGGCGCCGGCCCGGGCAGGTGCCCGCGTCCTGCTGGCGCTGGCCTATGCCCTGGCGCTGTTCGCTGATGCCGGAGCGAAGATGGTGTGGGACGACCTGATGTACGCCAACACCAACATCGAGCGCCACCAGGTCCTGTACTCCGCCAGCGTGAACATTGACGGCGTGGAGGTGCCCAGCAAGTGAGTACCGCGCGAGGGGCGGGCCTCGGCTGGCATGGAGTCATTTTAACGCAGGGATCGTGTCGCGGGGATCCCCACTGATTGGATTGCGGTTGCGGGGCGTGGCCTTGGGGCC